CAAAAGCATCACCGCCACATGCTCACACCGTCCACGAGTTTCTGGACCCACGAATGGAGGCTGCGGGCCGTCCGCTGCTGAGTAACAGCCACACCAGAGCCCGGGCCCAGGCGGTGGCCACTTTCTTCTGCACCCACAGCCACAGGTGGCCAGAGGGGGATGTTCTGGAAGGTCTCCCCCAGGCAAGAGTGCTGGCCTCATAGGTGCTCATGTGTATGGCCAAGACCATAGCCCCCCCGGGGGTCGGAGGGCTGGCTTCTCACTGTCTAGGTAGTCGGGCACCACCCCCATGTGGCCTCCCGAGAGGTCTCTCCCTGAGGTGTCTGGGCAGCCAGGAAGCAGGGCAGGGCCAGGAGTGCCAGACCCCTACAGCCCGAGCCCGGCCAGTGCAGCATCTGTCTTGCATGCCTGGGGCCAGCCAGCTCAACCCGTCAGTGGGCGCCCGCGTGCAGAGCCGACATGCAGACTAGAGCCCTGTGGCTTGTGGGACACAGGGTCTGTCCTTCAAGCCAATTTCGTCTCCCCAAGGGAGGATCTCGGTTTGGAAGACGGGCTGGCCCGGAGGGTGGTGATGCACACGGGACCATCTGGGAGGGCCTGTGGTATCCTGCTCTTGCACCCGGTGGTGGACGGTGGGGGTGGACTGAGGCAGCCAGCCCCAGGTTCCGGTGGTGCTGGGAGCGAGGGAGGTACGGGAGGGGGCCTGGCTGAGTGCCTGCCTGCCGGACTTCCTGGGCTTTTGGAGCACTCCCACGCAGTGCCCTGACACACGTGTACCAGGTAATCACGGCTCTGGAATGGCGAGGCCTCTAGAGGCGGAAGGCTTGAGGGAAAAGCCTAAATCCAGGCCCTCCTAGGGTTGAGTTCAGGCAGGAGGAGAGGCCCTGCAGCCTCTCCGGAGTATGCAGGCCTCTCTATCTGCCCAGACGGTGGGGCAGGAAGCCAGTGGCATCCTCTCGAGGCACCCTGCACGGGCCGAGCCCAGGGCTGCAGACTCCAGGGTTCCAGGGCCCAGGACCTGGGGACTCCGGCCAACGGCTCTGCGCTTCGAGCCCATTAAGTGACCCTCGCGTGTCTCTCAGGTCCCTGGGTGGGCCCCAAGCAGCCTCGGGGTGCTCTATGGACACGTGGGTTCCAGTGGCCCAAAATATGTTAATTACGTTAACGTGTGTTCAAGCGTGACGTGGACAACAGTAGCCATGGTCTGGGCTTCCTGCTCAGTGCCTGCAGCCGTTGGGGCTCCAGGCAGGTGGGAGTGCGCCCACCGGGACAGGTGGGGCCCATGTTCCCACGTCCCCTGCCCACAGCAAACGCCAGTCATTGTGACTGGACGGACAAGACACTTTATGAAAGGCAGGATCCGATACGGGAAGTGTGTGTGCAAGGTGTGTGTGTGTGTGTGTGCGCGAGCCCATGGGACGAGAGCATGTGTCATTGTGTCTGTGGGTGAAGAGTGCCAGCGTGAGTGCATGGGGGACACACGTGCACGAATGTGGGGTATGTCTGCCTGTGTGCTTGTGTCCGTGACGGTGTGTGTGAGTGTGGAGGTGTGCATGTGAGTGTGTGAGTGAGTACGGGGCGCCTGTGCGTGTGTGCAAGGGGTGCACGTGTGTGGGATTCGGTATGTATGTGGGGCCTGTGTGAGGGTGTATATGAGTGTGTGTGAGGTCCATGTGTGTTAGCACTTGGGTGGGTACATGTGTGTGAGAACATACGTGTGTGCATGTGGAGCTCATGTGTGAGAATACATGCGAGTACCTGTGGGGTGCGTGTGTGGGGAGTGCATATGTGTAAGAGGATACCTGTGTGCGTGTTGGGCCTGCGTGTGAGAGGTGGATGTGTAACATGCATGAGGGGCCCGGGAGTGAAAACGCATGTGGCGTGTGTAAGGGTTACACCTGTGAGAGTATGCGTGCGTGTGTGGGGCCGTGTGTGACACTGCGTGTGGGTGCATGTGGGTGCAAGTGAGCACCAGGGACCCGGTGCCTGCATTCCGAGATCTGCTCGCCGTGTCCTCCACAGCGGCCACTCAATGTCAGCCGGCCCTGACAGGGTCGAGTCACGCTGGGCCCAGTGCTGGCACCGAGCACCCACGTGGCCGGTCAGCAGGGTCCCTCTGCCTCGCCCACTGTGCTGGGCAACTGCCAGGCCTGGCTGGCCTCCCAGAGCGTCCCGGACCTCATCCGCTCACGGCCCGGGAGGCGCGGGCCCTGGCGTGTGTGGGAGACTCGCAGCCCGACGCCGTGACAGCGCGGGAAACACTGCGTCCTCATGAGCTCCCGGCCGCCCCGCTAGGGAAGGGGGTGAGAAGGACAGTGTCCATCCACTCGGCCCACTGTGGCGTCAGCTCACACGTCAGCGACACACGGATGTGAAAATGCCGCAGGGCAGACCCCGTGCTGACTGACCAGGAGTGCCGTGGGTGGCACGGGATTCAGGCAGCTGCCTGGGCACCCTCAGTGTGTCTGCCCTGTCGCCGCAGCATGACGGAAGTCTCTGGCCCTGGGAAGCCATGGCCGGCATGGCCTGTCTGAGTGGGCTCTCACTGGGCCTTGAGGCCGAGCACCCGCAGTTCTCGGCGCAGGCCTTCCGAGCGCCCTGGAAGAAGGACAGGCGGGTGGAGAGGCAGCAGCCGGCAGTGAGGAGCCGGTGGCAGGAGCAGCTCCAGGGTGGTGCGGGGCCGACCGTGTCCTGCACACGGCCCTGCGCTCCACGGGGAGAGGCGTGCGGTGGGGCAGGAGCCCGACTTCCCGAGTTGTGGCCGCCCTTGCAGGCAGCCCGACCGCGCTGTGGTGCCCTTTGCCCTCCAGGCTGGCGCTGCCCACCCTGCCCTGGGGTCAGCATCTCAGGGCTGCAGCCAGGCCGACCTGTGCTGGCAGCGACTCCCCGACTCCTTGCAGCAGGCGGCCGTCCTTGTCGGGCATATGCCTGCCACCCGGTCCCGGGGCCTCACTAGCCCCCGTAGGGTGCAGTCACCCCGCGAGAATCACAGGAGGTCACCGCCACGTTGGGTGGGTGGCCCGGCCTCACCAGCCCGTGTGTGTTAGTTAGCAGCCTTGAGAGTTGCCGTCTGGACCTGGTCTGGGCAGAGTGGGGGGGACCGCAGGCCAGAGGGGCTGTCACTGCCCACCCACCCTGACAGTTCCCACAGGCAACAGTGGCCGGGCCGACAGCAGCATGTGGAAACCTGGCCGGGCGTGGCGGGGACGCCTGGGAAGCCTGTGGTGACTCACGCTGCAGGGAATTCCCTAATGACCTGGATGTTTTCACTTTGGACGTGGTAGCTTCCTGCTGGGAGCCGGGAGCCCGTGATAAGACCGAGCACAGAGGCCCTTTCAGGACGGCCTTCCTGCACGGGGATAGCCGCGGCTCTGAGCTGGCGTCGGACACCGCCTCTGTGCCCCGCCCGGGACCGCGC